CAAACTTTTACATGCAAATTAAAAATAATCCTGCTGTGCTAATATACTGTTTCTCTGCCAATCATCTCCATGATAACTTAATTGACCTGATACAAATATAAAACTGTTATGGCCAAACTGAATTACTCAAAATAATTTGAAATTATTTTTAAAGTGCCCACCCTATTTGTTATCTAAGGCAGTCACATAAATATTTATAATATTTAATTATGAAAAAAAGCCAGTTCATATACCTTTCAGTATACTTCTTTCAATTCCATCTGTAATAGCGTGACAAGAAAGATACAGTAAAGGAAATAAAATTCTTTAACTGCTAAGATGACGGCAATGCAGTCTCCTAAAAGCACAAGACCCTGTCACTCAACACACCCTGTCCTAAACTAAACACCACAAAGTAAAGTAAGTAGAGCAACACCCTGCACGTTATAGCCTCACCAAAACTCACCAGAACACCAGCTTTTCGGCACCTGTGGGCTCGATCAACAAATATTGCAACTCAGATATTCAGGGATGTCCTCAATCCAAGCTCTAAGGCTCATGCATTTTACTAAAATGTGAAGCTCCAGGGGGTGGGAGGGAGGGAGTGGCTTGTTTAGAACCCAATTATGCTTACTTCTAGCCAAGTGTTAAATAGTTCACCAGGTCACATCAAAATAAAAATAGCCAATTAGCAACACGGGGAACTGCTAGGCAAAGCAACAAACGGGGGCAAAGATCTACAGATAAGGGCCAGAAAACAAAAGGTTGGGGGTCATTCAGTACAGAGACAATTGAGTATAGGCAGGGAACTGAAGAAGCCTCCAAGAGTTAAGGCAACATGTCTGTCCTGGGGTGTTTGTCTACTTGCCACTGGCCCATGTGATTAAGTTCAATTCTATTTTTCTCTGCGAAGTTGCCACTATTCCATTACCCGGGGTTCTTCTTTCTGTAATTTAAGACTACTAGGTCCCCACTTCCTTTCCAAGCACAGGAGGTTCTTTACCTTTAGGTTTCATGTTAGGTAGAGTCGTAGTACTTAAGAGGGGGTTGAAGTCAGGCTGCCTAGGTTCCTAGCCTGGCCCTCTTTTTACTGGCTGTGTCACCTTAAGCAAAGTAACTTCATCTTTCTGAGCCTGAGCTTCTTCAAACGTAAAACGGGATAATGAGTATCTACCCTCATAGAGTTGTTACAGAGATTAAATAAGATATGACATGCAAAACACTTAGAGTAACAGTACCTGGCATATAATTAATGCTCAATAAAAAGTAGCTATTTTTAATCACTTTAGGGTAGAATGGTAGTAATAAAAACAACTTACTCAGGAAAGTAACGAGTTATCAAGAGGAGGCAAAACCTTTAGTATACTCTCTTCATGAATAAATGGGACCACCTCAAGGGACCAATCCCATAGAGATATTTGCAGATATACGCAAAGGTCGATGTATAAAAATGCTTATAGTAGTAAGAAATGGAAAACAATCCTAATTATCACTGCTACCATATACAGAATTCTACATAGTCATTTAAAAAATATAGGAGATTTATATGCACTCATGATCAATAATTTCCAAGAACAATTAAGTGACAAAGAAAGGTATCCCCAAAATGTATAGCAAGATCCCATTTATTTTTTTTAGAGGTGGTGTATATAGTGTAAATATATACATACAGACACACATTCTTGTATATATGTGTAGATATATAGAAAAGACCTGAAAGACTATAGACTCAAAAGAAGAAATGGCACTTTCCCTTTTACTCTATGTATGTCTGTGCTGTCTAAAATTTTTCACAGCAAAACACAAATTTATATATATGTCAGTAATTTAAAGAACACTTAAATGAGAATGGAGGACAAATAAATGTTATTTACAAATAAACAGGATAAAATGAAAGAAATGAAAATATTCTTTAATAAACACACCATTTCCGTTAAGAGAAATAAATGTTAACAATATGAATAAAACACAGTTGCATTTGGCTTTTGGAAATATGGCTGACTTTCCACTTCCTCCTTGTCTACATCCAAACACTCTTCCAGAGTGGACAGTTTTTACATTTCAAAGGGGTGGGACAAGGGAGCAACGGTAAGGAAATAATCTGATTTCAAGGTGATTTAGTAAATTTACTCACATGTAACCTGCCTCGAAGCTCTCTGTCATTTCTCATTTTCACATAGATTCGTTCATCTAGACTGAGCCTGATGAGATCCAGAGGCTCTTCTACAGTGTTGGTAGTTTGTTGCTGATAAAAGAAACAGGCTTAGTAATACAGTACTAGAGAGTAAACTGTATGAACCATCGGTGCCCTGCATGACTGTGGGCAAATTACTTAACCCCTCTATGCCTCGGTCTCCTAATCTGCAAAATGTGTGTAACGACAGTGCCTACCTAACACTGTTGTTGTGAGGCTTAAATGACATATTTGAAGGCATCGAACAGTGCCTGACACGGAGTAAGTGCTAGATAAATGAGGGCTGAAACATACGTACACAGAAAGGAGTTCTATGACAAAATAATCATGACGGCACTCTGTTCCCTCAAAATCCAAACTGTCTGACCCCATTTCAGTGTGTAGGGAGTCACTCTCTCAGAGACTTCAGCTTTATCTCAAATATCATTTAGCAATTTGAAGAACTTACATTTAATGACTACCACATACTAGTCAGAATGCTAAGCAGAGATGAATGTTTGAGGGAGGATTATGAGTTCAGTACAGGGCAAGTTGAGTCTAGGGTGCCATTTGGTCAGTAAGATGAATATATTTAGCAGGCAGTATAGAATACTGGTTGAAAGCATTGGCTTTGGAGTCAGGCAATGTGGGTTCAATTCCTGACTCTGACACTTACGAATTGGGATTAAAAAAATCATGCCATCTCTAATTCTCAGTTTCCTTGTTTACAAAATGAGGAATCCACAATCTTCCCTTCATAATTCTTGTGAGGATTAGAGCTAATGTATTTAACTGAAGTATCTGATATATTTTAAATAGTATCTGGCAAACAGAAAAGTACTTATAAATGGTTCTTTTTATTACTATTAAAGAACTGTTGGAAACAAGTCTCAAAGAGACCAAGGCTAGGATGACCGGGGTCCATATGGAAGGGATGCTTGAAGCCAGGAGAGCTGATAAGATTATTCAAGGAGAGCTGCTTCAGTAAGTACATAAGGCCAGTGGAGGAAGGTGACTGAATGTTACAGGCTCTACAGCCCTAACATAGAGTAAAAGGGGAAAAAAAAAAGAAGAAAAAATACCGACTCACGTAGTCCCCATCCCCAGTTCAAGAGGTGTTTGTTAAGGACCAGCTAACCAAATACTAGATTACAATGATACAGAAGTCAGTCCCTGCCCTCAAGTTCATTCTAGTGGGGAGAGGCATATAAATAAGTAATCATAACACTGTAAGGATATATACGTGGCTGTGCCCTACTACCCACTGTCCACCCTCTTCATCCCGTAGTTTTAAACACTGCCTTTTCAAAGCGGACTCCCTGATCATTCGATCTAGTCACTCAATAAATATCTGTTGAGTGTTTCCAGCACCGTTCTAAACCCCGAGGGCAGAACAGTGAACAAAACTCTTGCTCTTAAGGCACTCACATTCCAGTTGGGGGATACAGGCATTAAATAAAGAAGCATATACTTAATATGAACCAATAACATGCTAGGAAGAAAAATAAAGCAGACTGGAGAGCGCCGTTTGATGCCAGGTGGCCAGAGAAGTCCTCTTTGAGGAGATGAGATTTCAGTGGAAAGCTGAACAAGCTGTAACCTGATCCACAAAGACATCTGAGGAAGAGCATTTTGGAAAGAAAGGAGAGCGGGAGAGAAAGCCTGCAGGACCATCAGTTATTCTGAATACCAGTTCCTTGCTTGTTGCCTTCATACCACATCACAGCCCCGCATATCGCGCACACTTATGTTTACTTTTTACCCGTCCTTCCCCGAATATAAACTTCAAGTGGGGCCAGGGACCACGTACGTCAATGCCAGTGTCCCTGGTGCTCAGAACGGTGTCCAGCCACACAAAGACGATGCTCACTAGGTGTTTGTTGACTGTGCAACAACTGCTGCGCTCAGTAACGATAACAACTCCTTAACTGTACTATCAGGCTTTCTATCAGAATCCCGACAGGTCCGTGAGGCAGGCAAGGATAATTATTCCCCCCCCCTACGGAAAAAGGTGAGACTCAAGAGAAAGGAAGCGACGAGAGTGAGGAATAACTAGTTTCCAGCGGACTTCGAACAGAAAAAAAATCTCAGGGCCTGAGGCAAAATTGGGAGGAGGCGCGGTTAACCAAGAGGCAGATTAAGGCCGTGAAGACCCAGAAAGAGGCGGCGTAATTGGCCACCTTGCCGTGAGCTTGGAGAAAGCAACCCTGACAGGCAAAGTGGGGCAGAGCCAGGCCTGGGCGTGGGAAAGCCGCGCCGAAGCGAGTTCTTCAGAAGACACTCACCTGGTCCACGTCGTCCGCCATCTTTCAAACCCTGCGCTCTTTCCCGCCTCTCGCGAGAGCACGAGAACCCCCCCCCCCCCCCCCCCCTCCGGTCTCTGGAAAGGCGAGGACGCAATGCACCGGAAGTAGAAATAATCGGTTTTGCTGCTGCTTGCTTCCTGCAGTTGGCATTGGTCCTTTGGGGCTGGGGCGGAGCTTTATCAGGGGCGCCGACGTTGGGGCGGGGGGAATTGGGTACCTGGTGTCCCAGTGAGGGGGCGTGGCCGCGCCTCGCCCCGCCTGGGGGCGGAGCCAGCGCGCGGGCTGCGTCCCCTGGCGGCGAGGTGCGTCCAGCGTCCGCCAGTCCTGCCCAGGCAAAGATGGCTCGGAAGCGCACGGCGGGCGGGGAGCCGCGGGGAAGCGAGTTGCGCGGCCAAATGGCCGCGGGCAGGGGGCCGCGGGGACGTGAGTCACGCAGCCAGACGGCCAAGGGCGAGAGCAAAGCCAGGCGCGAGGAGAAGGAGGCGGGTGAGAGCGAGGCCGAGCCGGGCTTAGGGGGAGAGGCTGGAGGAGGGCGGGAGGTAGGCCGGGTGGGGGAGGGCGACGCCGGCCTCCTGCAGGTGCGGGCGAGGCAGCCCCGCGCCCACCTGGGCCAGCGAGACGGCGTTCCGGTGACCGCGGGAGGCAGGCGTCATGCGGCTGCCCCGGGCCTCCCCGACGTCGCTGCGCCTTTGCCCTCCGTGCCGGGAGCGATGCGCCCTGAGCGGTTCCGCGGAGCCCGGCCGGACCAAGAGCTCCCCTGCTCAGCCTCTCCCTGCTCCGCGTCACCCGCAGGATCAAGTCCGGCCTCCTGGTAGATGCAGAGGGTGCATAGGCAAGAGGCACTGCGGTTGTTTTGTGTCCCCACAAGACGAACGGACCAGGACTTAGAGTGCTGGAGTGTGCTGATCTCCTGAATAGTACCTTCAGCCAAATCTCACCTCAGAGCCCCAGCTTCGGATCCCACCTGACTTCTTCACGTGCATATCGAATAGGCTTCTTATATTTGCCCTGGGCAAAGCAAAACTCTTGATTTTCCCCAGTTAAACCTGTCCCTTCCCCACTTTTCCCCTTCTCAGTAATTGATCCCTTCACTTCTTTAAGCAGACCCCTCCTCTTCCTTACACGCACAGCTCCAGTCCTTCAGCAAGGCCTGTTAGTTCAACCTCAGAACCATATCTCCAATCTCTCCACTTCTCTTTATTCCCGTGGCCGCACCCCCTGCCCAAGCCACCCTCACTTTTCAGTTGCGCGACTGCGATTGCCTCTTCACTGGCCTCCTTACTTCTTTTCATCCCTCACCACGGCAAGAGTTCTCTATGCAGCGGCACAAGTGATCTTAAAAAAAAAAATCAGATCTTGCCATGCTCCTACTTCAGATCCTCTGTGGCTTCCCATTGCTCTTGGCATAAAATCCAGATTCCTCACCATGGCCTACAAGATCCTACGTGATATGGCTCCTGCTTCTTCTCTTGTCTGCTACCACTGTCTTCTTTGCCAGATACCCTCCTTGTTGGCCTCCGTTTGGTTCCTCAGATACGCTGTTATTTTTCATCTGAGCCTTTGCCTTTGATGTTCCTTCTCCCTAGAATGTTCTTCCGTGGCTTTTGCCGTGGCTCACTTCTGTTCCTCCAGGTCTCAACCCAGGCACTCCTCGAGTATCCTGCCTAAGGTGGTCTCTCCCAGGTACCCCTCGTGACAGAGGCTCTGACAGCCTATGCCACATCTGTAATGATCTTGTTCATTTATTTGCTTCCTTTTTAACCTGCCTTACCAGAATTTAAGCTTATGAAAACATGTCTTATTTTTTTGCTGTATCCTATCTTGTCCTCCCCCCTTCTCTGCGTATACTAAGTGCTCAATAAATATTATAAATAATTGCATAATGCATGCTGTAGAACGGATTTCTGGGGTACCTGATATAACTGGGTAGACGATTAGCCTAGGTCACCATCAAGGGCTCCTGTGACATAGATTCAGTAATTCTGTGATTCTGTACATATTTTAAGGCCATCATTCATTAGGAAATAGTCAAATGGTAACCATTTCTAAACTTAAAAGGTGATTTACCTCACAGTTAATACTACAAGTTCCATTTTACTCATTGACTCATTCCTATAACATTTTTTGAGTACCGAATGTCTGCTGCACACGAGCTAGGTGACACGGGAGATAGACGTTTCTTGGAGATTAGAGTAGGGTGGTGTTCACATTTACCAAAAAAATATCCAAGACAGCGTGTGGTTTCATGGGATAAGGTATAAGGCTTTCTGACTTCTGAAGGAATAATCGGGAGAAATTGGGAAATGCTCTCTGAAGAAGTTATGTTTGGTCTGCAACTTGAAGAATAGGTAATATTTCAGCAAACAGCTATGAAAAGGGGTTGTCATTCTAGTCAGAGGGAATGTATTCTGAATACATGGCAATTAAAAATTTTTTTTGAAATCAAAAGGTATTGGAAATGCCACCAGCCTGCGTAGCATTCCTCCCAGCTAAACACTTCACCTTGGCACCAAGTTGGTATAGCTCCAACATTTAGTAGTTATATGTGTTTGGGTTATATATGAGAGGCAAATAATTTAGCCTCTCTGGACCTCGTCTGTGAAACTTAATTCTAACCTGCTGGGTGGCTGTGAATTTTCATCCCGTAAGGCTCCTGGTATGGTCCAGGTGAAGAAATCAGATGGGTTAGCTCACATCAATTCAGTCTACACGTAGGCAAGGATGCACTTAAGCTTCGCTCACGCTCTGCGAGCCAGTGGAGCTGCAGTAAGTTTCCAATGTAGCTTCCGGGAAGAGTTATCAGCTTTGATGTGGTTGGGTAGAGGAGCAATTTGGTTGTGGTTTTGGCCACAGGTGACACTGATTTGGTGACTCTCCAGTGTACTGTCTTAACAGCACCATAGTGTGGGTTTTACCAGAACCTCAGTGCATGCACATGAACGTGACACTTGGCTGCTTCCAACAGCTGGGGACAAAGTAAATAGTCTTCCACGTATATCTTTGTTTCCATTAGGGCACCTCTGGTTTCTCCATATTTAATCTCAATGTTAAATTCTTCATCGATGTAGTTCATTAACTCCTTCAACAGATATTTACTGAGCACTTGCTATTTTCAGGCCCTGTGCTAGGCACTGGAATTATAGTGGTGAACAGGATAGGCAAGGTTCCTGCTCTCATGATGCCTGTAATCTTTGGGGAAGGGTAGGTAGGACAAGTAAGTTAAAAAATAAATTCACATGGTGATAAGAGCTATGAAGAAGGTAGGACAGGTTGCTGTAATAAAGCTGACATGGGGACAGGGAGGAAGCGGCTGTCAGAATTAGTGGTCAAGGAACTCCTGTGTGAAGACGTGGCACTTTGAGCCAATTACTGACTGTAATGAAGGAGCCTTTTGTAGGACATTGTGGGGGAAGAGAGCTCTGGACAGAGGAATCAGTAAGTTTAAAGGCCCATAGGAGGGAATGTTTTGGAATTGAGGTGAGAGACGTGAGTAGGACCCTTAGGTTGGAGACCAAAGTAAGGAGTTTGCATTTTATTCTTAGTGCTATGAGGTGCTGCTGGCAGTTCTAAGCAGGTGTTTTATTTTAGTAAATCAGTGGCTGGCCAATCAAGCCCCAGTGGTTAATTCATGCCCTGCTGAAATTACTTGGTTAAGGTCAAGGAGGCTGGTTAGACAGTTGTCCCTCGGTATCTGCAGAGAATTGGTTTCAGAACCTCCATGTATACTAAGATGTGCGGATGCTCAAATCCTTTACGTAACAGTGTAGTACAGTCAGCCCTCCGTATCCTCGGGTTCCACATCTGCAGATTCAACCAAAGTTCAGTCCGAGGTTGGTTGAATCTGTGGATTCAGAACCAGGGGGATATGGAGGGCTGACTGTAGTAGACAGCTCTAGATCTTGGAGAGTCCTGGAAAATGGCCTCTTTTTTTTTTTTTTTAATTATAGTTGACTTACAATATTAGTTCAGATGTACAATAGTGATCTGATATTTGATATTGGACTCTACTCCCTATAAAGTTATTATAAAATATTGGCTATATTCCCTGTGCTATACATTGCATCCTTGTAACTTACTGCTTTTATACCTAGTCCTTTGTACCTCTTAATCCTCTTCCCCTATCTTGCCTCTCCCCCCACCCCTTTCCCCACTGGTAGCCACTAATTTGTTCTCTGTATCTGAGTCTGTTTCTGTTTTGTTATATTTGTTCATTTGTTTTATTTTTTAGATTCCACATATAAGCGAAAACACAGTATTTGTCTTTCTCTGTCTTATTTCACCAAGCATAATACCCTCCATGTTGTTGCAAATGGCAAAATTGCATTCTTTCTATGGCTGAGTAATATCTCTAATTCCTTTAGATGGTAGGTTAGGTGGTTTGAGATTTTTTCCTGTTTCTTGAGGTGGGCCTGTATTGCTGTAAGCTTCCCTCTTAGAAGGAAGCTTTTGCTGCATCCTGTGGATTTTGTAAAATTGTGTTTTTATTTTCGCTGTCTTAAGGTATTTTCTGATTTCCTCTTTGATTTCATGATTCATCCATTGGTTTTTTTTGTTTTTGTTTTTTAGTAGCATCTTGTTTAGTCTCCATGTGTTTGTATTTTTTTCTTTTTTCTTCCCGTCACTGATTTCTAGTTTCATACTGTTATCATTGGAAAAGATGCTTGATACATTTTCAGTCTTCTTGAATTTGTTGGGACTTGTTTTGGGGCTAGCATGTGATCTATCCTGGAGAATGTTCCACGTGCACTTGAAAAGAATGTGTATTCTACTGTTTTGGGACAGAATGTCCTGCAGATATCTATTAAGTCCATCTGGTCTAATGCGTCATTTAAGGTCAGTGTTTCCTTTTTTTCCCCATTTATTTATTTATTTATTTATGGCTGTGTTGAGTCTTCGTTGCTGTGCACGGGCTTTCTCTAGTTGTGGCGAGTGGGGGGCTGCTCTTCATTGCAGTGTGTGGGCTTCTCATCGCAGTGGCTTCTCTTGTTGCGGAGCACGGGCTCTAGACGTGCGGGCTTCAGTAGTTGTGGCACACGGGCTCTAGAGCACAGGCTCAGTAGTTGTAGTACACAGGCTTAGTTGCTCCGTGGCATGTGGGATCTTCCCAGAACAGGGCTCAAACCTGTGTCCCCTGCATTGGCAGGCAGATTCTTAACCACTGCGCCACCAGGGAAGTCGCAGGGTCACTGTTTCCTTATCGATTTTCTGTCTGAACGATCTGTCCGTTGATGTAAGTGGGGGTGTTAAGGTCTCCCACTATTGTACTGCTGTCAGTTTCTCCCTTTATTTCTTTTAATATTTGCTGTATATATTCAGGTGCTCCTATGTTAGGTTCATATATATTTATGAATGATATCTTCTTGTATTGACCTCTTTATCATTGTATAATGTCCTTTGTCTTTTATTATACACTTTGTTTTATAGTCTGTCTTGTCTGATACAAGTCTTGCTACCCCAGCTATCTTTTTGTTTCCATTTGCATGGAATATCTGGATAATAGCCTCTTGATACTGTGGCGCCAAAAACAAAAAGAAAAACCAGCAAAGAATAAAGAAAAAAATGTCATCCGTATGTCTACCATCCAGAAACAGCCACCACTAAATAATAGTGTATTTCCTTCTAGTCTGTGTATTTTTTTGTGTGAAGTAGAAAGTATACTATTAAAATAATTTTGCATTCTTAGCATTTTATCATATATCGTTTTCCTTTGTCTTAAAAGATGACTGAATTACATATCATTGTGTGACTGTACCATAATTGATGCTTATCTAATGGATAGACATTCAGATTTTAAAAATTTTGGATATTATGAATAATGATACTATGAACAGTTTTTTGATTCACAGTTTATTTCCCTTGTTCTCGCTTTTAACTCCTCAACCTCTCTCTTCAAAACACAAAAATACACAGCTGTGCCTTTTAACCAACCAAGTGATTTTGGTGAGGAAGAAATAGTGCTTCTGGAGCAACCTCTCACCTGCATCTTTAGATTAGTAAAGTGGAGTATTTAACATCTTTGCTTATTAACAAAGGGCTAAAAACCACTGTAAGATCTAGAAATCCTGATTTTAAGGGTGCCCTACCAAACTGTCAAGTCATAAATAAGCTTTTAAGCAAATTCTGGCCTTGAAATAAGAAATCTGTTTCCAGATTATAAATAACTAATTTTGAAATATTTTGTTTCCATTAAAATGTTTAAAACCTGGGAATGCATACATTTCTTCTTTTATAAAACATTTTAAAGAAACAGAACTGAATCAGTGATTTTAACCAGCATTAAAACAAATGCTGTTATAAGGTGAAATTTATTAAAATTAAGTTATGATTTTGTTCAGATCAAAAGGGAGAGTCTTTTTCCCCCATGCAAAATTGTATTCTTGGGGAATATAAATACCTATCCAGAGAGTCAGCAGGACAAACCATAGATGAAAGGAGTGAATTAATTTGATATTTTAGGTTAATATTGCAGCTGCTTTTGGAACCTCGGTGAAGGCTAGGGTATTTTTGTTTTCCACAGTTAATTGAAGCAGAGTTCTGCAGCAGCAAAAGAAGGTGATTTCTTTCAGATTCAAGATAATTTGCATGAATATATTTATAATAAAATAGAAAATATTTCCCTGTCATATTAATACATATTATAAATATATATAACAGTAATATATGTTAACAAGCAGACCATGCTTTTAGATACCCTAGTTGAACTAAAACCAACAGTTTATGCATTTTTTATATTTCCCTTTAACAAAAAAAAGAAACAATAATTATTTTGAGAAAATAAAGTTATTTTTGAGTTACGGCTAACTCATTCCAACCCTAAGTTTGCTGAGAGCGGCACTGAGGCGAGACTGCAAAGATTTCATAATGTATGTGTTCTGAGTAGTGTTTGGGTTTGAAAGATGACAGGAACTTAGATTAGGAGAAATCGGTTGTGGTAAAACTGGACACTCGGACATGTTTATGAACTTGAAACATTTCACTTAATAGGAGTGGATTATCCCTAAAATAAATAATTAGTCTTGGCAGGTAGTAAATAAGCAAGGTGTTAATTAATGGATTGATGAATTTTCCTTGCTGGATATTAGCTGAAATTTAAGGTTTGCAGTTTAGGTTGTATGGGTCACGTGGTGGTGTGTCTGTAGTCTTAGGAGGAGTAGAATACAGTGCTGATAAGGAAGAGTGTAGAGTGTAGACCAGCTGGAGGTGGGAAGAGGCTGAAAGCTGGTTGCTGACCCAACATGGGATGGTGACGGAGGTTTAGAGGGAGGTTACCAGAGAGGACTTCTCATGACCCTGCCCGTGAAGCTACAGTGTCTCCACCTTTCCTATTGTCCCTTATCTCATGTTCTGTGTGGTCATCTAGATGTCTTCGAAGATGAGAAAGCTCCAAAGAAGAGTGTTCTCTCAAAAGTTTCACGAGGAAAGAGGAAGAGAGGCTTCGGTGATTCTGGGGGCCCAGCAGATGGTCCAGCAAGAAAGAAAGCGGCCAAAGTGACTGTTAAATCCGAAAACCCTCAGGTTATTAAGGATGAAGCCCTCAGTGATGGGGAAGATTTCAGGTGAGATGGCTGAAAACCTCTTGAGCAGGTCTTGATTGTTCCCATCAGGGAAGTGTGACTAAGAAAACCTCCTCTTTTTGCTTGTCACTGGGATCTGTGGAAAAGGTGGGATCTTGAAACTCTTCTAGGTAGAGCTCAGACCACTAGTAAGAGCTGGGAAGAGTCTTGGCAATTATATAGTTTACCTCCCAAACTTTTCAGATGAGGACGACAGCTTTCAGAAAGTGATTTGTTCGTGGTTACACAGCTAGATGGTGGCTAAAACCAGGATGAGACCTCGGTCTTCTGACTCCTGGTCCAGTGCTCTTTATACCACACGAAGACGTTTCATACACGAGGCATTTCCCTGACGTCTGGCCGTGTCCTGTCCTGCTCTCCTCGGGTGCGCTCCGCCCCTGCCCAGCTGGACTTCCCTCCTTCACTTGACACGTGCTCACGCTCTTCCTTCTGCCTGGAACGGTTTCTTCCACCTTCAAGATGCAGAGCAGAAGTCATCCCCTCCACAGTCTTAATTGATTCCTCCCCCTTTTCCTCCTCGGACTTCTTGCTGCATCTCGTAAGAGTGTAACTGATCCGCCTTGTGTTACACTACTTGTTTCCGTGCCATATACCACTGTGAGCTCAGACAGCTGGACCCACACTGGTTCATTTGTTTATGCCCCGTGGTGTCTAGGGCGGGGCCTTTGACGTGAATGAACATATTAATATGTGGTGAACAATCAACACTTGATCGTCTGCCTCCTAGGGAAATTGGGGAGGGGGAGGAAGAGGACAAACAGAGAGGCAGTAGTTTCTTCTTCGTTTCAGAAATAAACCCTCACTCTTAGTGTCAGCTTTTCCAGCAACCTCCAGTCCTGGCTCAGAAAGTAGGCCAGGACAGGGCAGCTGTGGGAAGGAGCACAAGGAAGCATGTGGATTTTCCACCATCGTTCTTCTTTTCCCTAAGACTTTTCCTGCGAATGCCTCTGAGCTTACTGCTTCCCAGTTGCCTCTCCCCACTTGTTGAATTCTTTCTGCATAGAAATTCACAAACAGATAGACCAGGATGTTGCCAGGGAAAGCTCTGGTCCCCCTTTCCGTCTCAGTTAAGAGTTGCCATTTCTGCCACTTTTACTCTAAGGGGACATTTTTGTTGCTGTGGTGTTGAGAGGAAGTGGCAGGCTAAAAAGGGAGTGTTTGTCTTTTTAGAGCTGAAGCCTGAGGCTTGTTATTTTAAATGTCTGTGCTAAAATCTTGGGTCATATTCTCACTGGATACCATGTGTCCAGTCTTACAAAAGCTGTAAGTAACTCAATTCCCTGAACATATTTTATGTGTGAATTTGCAGAATTTTATTGCATATTAGCAACCGTTGACTCTTGAGCCAGTATTTAGCCAGCTCTGTATCTACGTAGTTCTCTCCTTACGCTTCCAGTCGTCTGTGTTCCTTATGACACACCTGTGTTCAGTTACATCCCCATTTACTTAGAAGTTAAAATTCTACCAACCTCAGTCTCCTTTCGTCTTATTTCCCAGAGGTGGGGAAACAATCTTCTGAGTTGGCTCATGGTAGGATCCGCAAATGTGACTTCTCTCCTCTTCTTTCTGGCGTCTGGCTGCACGTGTGTGCACACAGACATCGCAGCTTTTACTTCTGGGACTCACATTATTTTTGTGGTTTTTTTCTAACTTTCCCTGTATCATTTACAGACACAGCTGTTTCCCTTCACACAGCTCTAGATTGTAGGTTCATCATGTTCCTCCTGTTTTGACAGCACATCTAGTGTGCGACCTGTGACCAGAGCACATCTTGATGGGAACTTGAGACCCGGGCTAATGGAGGAAGTGAGGCTCAGAGCTCACAAATCATCAACTAATTGCAACAGTTTCTCAGTAAATAGAAGGAGTCCTTAAAGTTGAGTTTAGTTTAAACATAGCCCTAGGATGTCTGAGCTTTTCTTCATCTTCCCTCCTGTGATCTCTACACAGGGACTTCCCGAGTGCCCTCAAGAAGGTGCACCGTCCAGAGAAAGAGGCTGCTGCGGACAAAGGTGGGGGTGAAGGGGGCGACGAGGAAGAGAGTGAGGAGGACTGGGAAGAGGTAGAAGGTAAAGTGTCTTCCTCTGTTCTCAGAACTGTTTGATGCTGTTTTTCTGTTTGATTCTGTTTGGAGTCATGTCACTGCAATCCTGTCCTTTTCTTTTGAAACTAATAAAAACAAAGTTGCAGTCGGGGACTTGCTTTTGATGTAAGGAAAAAGTCATGACCAGGTTAGCAAAGAACGTTGTATATTCTCTTCCTCTGGTGGTGCTCCATGGAGGGGATCATGAGATAGAGAAGACGCATCGTCTCATAGAGCCCGGGCTTTGCGGGTGCTCATACCTGGCTCAGAGGCCAGCTGTGCCACTTGTGCAGCTGGGTGAGTGAGTAACTCCAGCTGTCCGAGCTGAGTTTTTCCACTGGTGACAGTTGGTAAACACCGAACACTTACTGTGAGCTGGGCACAGTCTAGGCTCCAGGGTTGTTGTGGGAAAATGTGATGGGCCTGGTGCATCACATACTCAAAATACATAGCCCCTAATGTCACCATCCTTAGCGTGACTTTTCTTTCCCAGCTTTTTATTTTGAAAGCGTTCAAACCTACAAAAAAATTGAACATGTAGCCCATACACTGTTCACCTAGACTCACTAACTTTACCATTGTGCCGTTTGAATGTACCAGCATCTTTCCTTCTGTAAATCGGCATTGTGGAACCACGTGAAAGTAAGTCGCAGACATCCTGACTCTTCACTTGTAAATGCTTCAGCATGCATTTCCTAAGAGTAAGACATTCTCCTGCATGGTGAAATACCATTATCATACCTAAATTAAGTCCCTAATTGTTATAAAACTATCCTTTATAACTGTTTTTCCTTTCTTTTTTTTTTTTTTTTGCTTTTCATAGCACTGGGTTTTTGTTTCGTTTTGTTTTGTGTTGGTGGAGTCCTGGCCTCTTGTTTCGTAGAATGTCTCATATTGTGGTTCGTGATGGTGGGAAACTTGTTTGAATGCCCCCTGGATTTCTTACAAACTGTAAGGTGAGGCCAAAGACTTAGTTATATTTAGATTAAACATTTTTTGGCAGGAACACTTCAGAGCTTTGTACTTCACGGTGCATCCATTCAGAGGCATCTAATGTCAGGTTGTACCGCTGCCGATGCTAAGTTTGGTCATGTCTGTGGTACTGCCTGATTGTGCCAATGTAAAGGTACATTTTCCTTTTGTAATTTACCATCTCTAGTGGGACTCTGATTCTGTGTGAATATCCTGTTCCCCAGTCACTTTCTACTTAATGGTTTTAGCAAGCGTCAATGATCTTGACTGAATCAAAGATTATTATATTGAGCACTGCAAATATTTTGATTCTGTCATCTCATGTATATTTATTAGCTGACTTTGATCTGTAAAGAAGAGCTCTGCCTTTTAAGAATTGTATTTATTTATTTTGGGTATCACTATGGACTTAAAAATTCAATGTTATCAGTTATCATCATTACATCTTCTGATCTTTGGATTGTCCCACGTTTGGCGAGCAGGAGCCCCTGTGAGCTAGCTACCCTACAGAGTCCTTTTGACATGGCTTCATTAGTTTCTGAGAATGTTTTTGTTCTTTGGCACAATAAGATGTTCCAGGATCTCTCTGTACTCTCCTTGCTGCACACCTGGTATTGGCCTTTTTTTTCCTCTAAGAAGCCCTGGTTCATTTTAGTAGGAACAGGTACATAGAAACCAAGGTCTTGGCACTGGGTATTGTCATTGCCAGTGGGGTGTCATTGCTTCTAGGCCCAGAGCTGCTTTGAAAGGAACTTTGCTAATGAAGTTCACAGTTCAGCAAATTTAATTTATTTCAGCTGGTGTTTATAAGCAGTGTAGCAGAGAAAGAGATGAAGATGCATGCCTTGCCGTGTATTCAGTACAAGTTTACAGTTGAATGGGGAAGTCATGCCTGTCTACAAAGCAAATTTTTGTGAGCGTTACCATAGTGATACAGAGAATAGGAAATTGCTCCCTAAGTCTCTTCTAAAACACACACAGATGAGCATTAGCTCCATGAAACCAGGGGTCTGTATCTAGTTCACCTAACTATCTCTGTGCCTAAGGTTCTTCCTCTGAGGGCTGTTTCTCTGGGTTCTTGTGCAGGTTAATGAGACAGTTAGATTGTAAGAGCACAGGGCCTGGCATTTCCTAGGAACTCAGAACATGGTCTCTACGGTTTCCTACCTCACACCCATTCCTCACTTGCTCTGTCCCAGCAGAACCTCGATTTTGTTTGGTACAGTATCTATTATAACGATAATTATTATTATTGATTTTAAAAATTACTGTTTATAGAAGTTAGTGAGTCCGTGCCGGGTGACGTGGGGGAAAGCGCAGCCTTCTCTACATCCGCTCTGCCCGTGAAGCCCGTGGAGATAGAAATTGAAACACCGGAGCAGGTGAAGGCAAGAGAAAGAAGGTACGATTAAGCACTTGCTTCTAGTTTCTGTCACGTATCATCACTGGCAGCTGCTCCTCAATGAAAAACACATAGGAGACCCGGGCTGAGTGTCAGAGCTGTCAGGAGCGCTAGGTGAGAGAGCCCTGGGCTCACCTTTAGGACTGAAGGAGACACCTTTGTGTCCTGGCTAGGGCAGGAGGTGTGCCAGGGGCTCTGCAGGTTGCCCGTCATCTTACTCCGTCTTTAGGACAGCGTGCGAATGAGGAGCCGGAGACTCAGGTTAAGTAACATTGCTGCTGTGAGTGGATGCGCCACGATCTGCGTCCCTCAGGCTGACCCGGCGTTGCTGTTCGTCTCCCCATGTCACTGCAGGGCCTGCGGCAGTGCCTGCTGCGGCTAGGGGCCCCCACTCCTCTCCAGGGTCCCCAGGCCCTCGGCAGCCCCTGGCAGCCCGGCCATATGGAGCGCGTCTCCTGGTAGTTAATTGGTTCCTGAGGCCCCCGTGCGATGGGCACGTTATGAGGCCTGAAGGAGGGAGACAATAGCAGTCAGGAAGCCTCAGGTTTTCCTCAGGATGCTTGGGACACAGACATGAGAGAGATTTTACAGCAGAACAGCATCGCACAAACGAGCGTGCGCTAACCTGACGTAAGGCAGTGTGTGCTGAGGAGCCGGTCAGTCCTGGGGGCGGGACAGTCAGAGGGGACGTCCTGGAGGGCGGGCTCTGAAGCATGCTTGGATGGCGGGTGGGCGCAGGTCGAGCAAGGGGGGGGAACGTCCTGGGCCAGGGCTCGCGGGTAAGGAGGAGTGGGAACAGCCAGCCTGCAGGTCTGTTGAGTAGCACAGCCTCAGTCATCGCAGCTGAAAGGCGTCGACGGGAGCGTGGGGTCGGCCTTCACCCTTCATCCTCCGAGTTTTCAATGTGCATTGCAGCGAAAAGATAAAAACGGAGTTTGAGACATATCTTCGGAGGATGATGAAACGTTTCAATAAGGAAGTCCGTGAGGACACACACAAGGTACGGCAGGGAAGGAGGAGGGTGGTACGCAGGGGAACTGGGCTTTCCATCAGCCCTGCCTCTGGGCTTCCACTCACTGTGTGACCTGGTGAGTTTCTGACTCGCTCCTGAAGTGGGGGTGATAACAGTGTCTGCCTGGGGGGATGGGCGTGAGGAGTAAGCAGATAGCACGTGGAAAGCACGTAGCTCAGTGCCGGGCGGGCAGCAGGGGCTAATACCAGGCACTGTCCTCCCATCCCTTCTCTCAGCTGTTTAATAACGTTGGTTCTGATCTCAGCTAAAGTTGCTGTGGCTTCTGGCTTCAGCGGGTACTTCCTGAACATACACCATTAGCAAGGTGCTTAGCAAGGTGCTTGGCATTGTGGGGAGAGAGACTTGTACGAAGCTTGTTTCCTACCATTCAGGAGTTTCTGATCTCACACAGGGAACAGGAAAGACATCAAAACAGGGAGACTCGAGACATAGAACAAGGAAAGAGATCAGTGTGGGCCTCAGTAGCCGAGGAAGGCCTCATTTAGGAGAGAGGATGGGGCGGGTCAGGAGGAAGGATGGCACAGGGAGACGCAGAAAGGCCGAGTGGTGGCCGGGCTGGTGGGACAGCCAGGGGGCCTGCATCTAGGAGGCAGCATGCGCTGGAGGCCCATGGAGAGTGAGGCAAGGGCAGACTTTGGTTTTCCTCTGACCGGCAGCAGGCAGCTAGGGAGAGTGTAGTGATGCGGAGGGCGGAAGGGGCACTGCCTGCAGCAGCTGCAGAAGCCGAGAGGTGCAAAGAGCACAGAGTCAGGGTGGAGAGACGAGGGGAGAGCTGGCGTGGCGCCCTCACAGGCCTGGGCGCCGAGCCGGGTGGCTGGGTTTCTTTTACCCCTTGGTGTTGGAGGTGAAAGAAAGGCGATGATGACTATGACTCCAAGATGTGAAGCTTAAGTGAGGGGAGAAGGGCGGAGCATGGGCTGCAGCAGGCCGGCTGTAGGCAGGAAGAAGGGGGACTGCCTTGAGGGGAAATGATGCAAAGCTGAGTGGGAGGAGGAGCAGACAGCCGCGTGGTCGTTTCCGGAGGCTGGGGAAGGCTGGGGTGGCGCGCAGGCCTGGGGACACGTGTGGGTCTGCGGCAGAGGCATTACACACACCGGGGTGGGGTTGAGGTGCACACGGCCTGTCCCATCCCAGCTGCGACAGCGGCTCTCCCCCATTCCGTTTCCTCCTGATCTTTTTGGAGCAAACACCAGACTTTGTAACATTTCATCCACAAATCCTTCAGGATGTATCAGTACCTCTAGAAGATAAGACCTCTTGAGAAAAAGGAAGTTTGTATTTTGCAGCTTTGAGATGTGATTGTTTCTTTGAGGGAAGGAGTACCTAGAGAGAAGAGGGGATGAAAGACAGAGTCTTGGGAGATGGCAGTGTTAGTATTTTTACTTTCTTGTATGTAGAAATGACAACAAATATTTCCTGTCCGCAAAACGTCTTTGAATTTGGCAGCAAAAATCCCACTGGTTTTCAGCCTTCCCTTTTCCCTCTCCCCAGGTTCACCTTCTGTGTCTGCTGGCAAATGGCTTCTATCGAAATAGCATCTGCAGCCAGCCAGATCTGCGCGCCATCGGCCTCTCCATCGTCCCAACTCGCTTTACCAAAGTGCCACCTCAAGACGTGGACGTCAGCTACCTGTCAAACCTGGCGAAATGGTAGGGCCTTCAGGCCTGTGCTCCAGAGCGTAGTGTAGGATTTGTGTCTCAGAGGCTGGGTGCAGGTCAGTTCCACAGACCCTCCTTGAGGGGCTGGGAAGGCTCCCCAGGGGGAGGGTGTGAGTTGGGTCTTCAGGAGTTGGCCAGACAGGCTGGGAAGAGGGGCACTGGCAGGCGGGGCTCCCAAGACACCCCGCTCTGTGTTTCGGCTGTAGAAGAACAGAGTTCCTCTTTGCCCTGACGTCTGATGCAAAGGAATGCCCGATTTCTCTCCAGGTTCATTGGAACATTTACAGTTAATGCAGACCTTTCAAGCAATGAGCAGGATGGCCTGCAGACGACGCTGGAGAGAAGGTTTGCTATTTACTCTGCGAGAGACAGTGAAGAGTTGGTCCACGTGAGTGACTCCTGGCAGCACTGTTTTCATTAGGTCTGTTAGCTGGGGAATATGGCAGTCATGTGCCACATACCCATTCCAGCTGTTTTACATATATTTCCTTGCTCAGTTCTCATAAAATAAAAACAGGTACTGAAGCTCAGAGAGGCTAAATCACTTTCTTAGGGTCATTCGGTTGGTAAGCATTGGAGACAGGATTGGGCCCATGTGTGAGTTGAAAGCTGCCCTCTCTCCTGTCTCTTACTTGGTGTCCTGGTGTATTAAAGCACTTAATTTTTGGTCAGCTGCCCTCGAATTGTTTACAGTATTCAAAAATCGTGTTTAAAAGTCCCAAGGAAATGTTTTTTCAAATTGGCTGCTGAAATCCTTAAGAAAGTGTTTCCTTACCTTCCAAGCTGGGTGAAGATGCTGGCAGGTGGCCGTGCAGTGAGTAGGGTTCTGTCCAAAAGGAGTCTTGGCGAAGAGTTTGTGTGTAGACGGGCTTTGTCGCATGCTTAAAATACCCTTAGGTGAGGCTCTGTCTCAATAAAACAAAAATAGGTAGAAATGTGGTTTTATCTCTGGAAGATTTCTGTTGATGCATATACTTGTGTCTGAGCTTCAGATTCTGTTTAGGGAAAGAGACTTTTTGTATCTTTAGAGACCAAATGACTGGCACCTTACTTCTCTTCCAATTTGGCTTGAAAAAGTGTGAGGTATCTGGACAGTAATTGTGCGGTGATATCACCACCCAGAGAAAAACACTCGTATTTCAGTGTCATCCTCCCAGACTTTGTTCCCACGTATATTTGTGCACATACATATTTGTTTTGTTTGTGTAGTTTTATTAAGCAAAGAAATAGTTTTTTTTAAAGAAGTAAACAATTCAGTGATACTCGGTGCATTTTCAGTGTTGTGCATCCACCACGTCTGTCTATTTCCAAGACACTCTTCCTATCCCGGAAGGAGACCCTGTACCTAGGACAGTCACTCCCATTCTTGCCCCTTTTCCCGCCTCCCCAAGTGTCTGGCAGCCACCAGTTCGCACTCTCTCTCTATGGGTTTGCGTACTGGGGATATTCCACATAAAAGAAATCACAGTACAGTCGGCACTCCCTGTCTGCAGGCTCCACACTCACGGATTCAGCCGGCTGCCAGTTGGATTCATATCTGCACCTGGTTGAACCTGCAGATGCAGAACCCAGGGATGGAGGCAGCGCCAGCTGTGCTCTGGCGTTTTGTAGAAGGGACTTAAGCATTGCGGATTTTGGCGTCCGGCGGGGGCCTGGAACCAGTCCCCACAGATAACCGAGGGACGACTATATCTGACCTTTTGTGTCTGGCTTCTTTCACTTAGCATGCTTTCAAGGTTCATTCACGTTTGTAACATGTATCAACCTCATTCCTTTTTATGGTGAATAATATTCCATTGTATGGATAGACCACATTTCACTTATCCATTCATCAACTGATGGGCGCTTAGGTTGTTTTCCATCTTTTGGCTGTTATGAAGAGTACTGCTATAAACACTGTGTGTACATACATTTATTTGGGTACTTGTTTTCAGTTCTTTTGGGTATATACCTAGAAGTAGAGTTGCTGGGTCATATGGTAATTGTATGCCAAACTGTTTTACATAGCAGCTGCACCATCTTACCTTCTCACCAGCAAAGTACAAGGATTCCAGTTTCTCCAAATCATCACGAACACTTGTTATTTTCCATTTTTTGGATTATAGTCATCCTTACAGGTGTGAAGTGGTACTCACGGTGGCTTTGGTCTGCATTTTCCCGATGATTAATGATGGGTTAATGTCTTTTCATATGCGTATCGGCCATTTGTTTATCTTCTTTGGAGAAATGTCTGTTCAGGTCCTTTGCCCATTTAAAATTGGGTTCTTTGTCTTTGTTACTGAGTTGTAAGAGTCCTTTATATATTTCGGTTACTAGACGCCTATCAGATATATGCTTTGCAAATATTTTCTCCCATTCTGTAGGTTGTCTTTTTACTTTCTTCATGAAGTCCTTTGATGCACAAAAGTTTTAATTCTGACAAAGTCCAATTTTCTATTTTTCTTTTTTTTTTAAAATTATTTTATGTTTGGCTGCATTGGGTCTTGGTTGCTGTGCGTGAGCTTTCTCTAGTTGCGGCGAGTGGGGGCTACTCTTCGTTGCGGTGCGCGGGTTTCTTAATGCGGTGGCTTCTCTTGTTGCGGAGCACGGGCTGTAGGCGTGCGGGCTTCAGTAGTTGTGGCACACATACTTAGTTGCTCCGCGGCATGTGGGATCTTCCCAGACCTGGGCTCGAACCCGTGTCCCCTGCACTGGCAGGCAGATTCTTAACCACTGTGCCACCAGGGAAGTCCTCTTTTGTTTCTTGTACTTTTGGTGTCATATCAAGAATTCATTGCCAAATCCCAGATCATGAAGATTTCCTCCTGTATTTCCTTCTAAGAGTTTTACAGTTTTAGCTCTTACATTTAGATCTTTCATCCATTTTGAGTTAATGTTTTTATATGATGTAAGGTAGGTGTTCAACTTCATTATTTTTGCAAGTGGATATCCAGTGGTCCCAGCACCATTTCTTGAAGAGACTAGTGACTAGTCTTTCAACTATTCATTGTATTTGTTGTATTATTTTCACTATTTATTGGAAGTTTTTCAATGGGGATGAATGGTCTTGGCACACGTATCAGAAATCAATTGGCCATAGACACTTGGGTTAATTTCTGGGCTGTCTGTTGTATTCCATTGGTCTACATGTCTGTCCTTATGCCAGTGCCACACTGTTTTGATTACTGTGAATCTGTAGTAAGTTTTGAAATCGGAAGTATGAGTACAACCTCATAATGCTATTTTGGCTATGTGGGGCCCTGTGCAGTTTCATGTGAAATTGATGGTCTGCTTTTCCATTTCTGCAAAAAAGGCCATTGGAGGGGCTTCCCTGGTGGCGCAAGTGGTTGAGAGTCCGCCTGCCAATGCAGGGGACGTGAGTTCATGCCCCGGTCCGGGAAGATCCCACATGCCGTGGAGCGGCTGGGCCGCTGAGTCTGCGCGTCCGACGCCTGTGCTCTGCAATGGGAGAGGCCACAACAGTGAGAGGCCCGCGTACCGCGAAAAGAAAAAAAAAAAAGGCCATTGGAGTATTGATAGGGTTTGCATTGATTCTGTACATTGATTAGGGCAGCATTGCTATCTAGTCAATATTAAGTCTGTAAACATGGCTTTTCCCTTTTATTTGCTTTTTAAATTTCTTTTAGTTGTATTTTGTAGTTTTCAGTGTACCTGTCTTTCATCTTCTTGGTTAAACTTTTTCTAGGTATGTTATTCTTTTCGATGCTGTTGTAAATGGTATTGTTTTCTTAATTTCCTTCTCAGATTGTTCAGTGAAGGTGTATTTAAAAAATGGCTGATTGTGTTGATCTTATACCTTGCGGCTTTGCTGAGTTCATTTAACAGTTTCTTGTGCATTCTTTGGGATTTTCTATATATAAGATCTTGACCTCTGTGAACAGAGTTAGTTTTACTTCTTCTTTTCCGGTTTGAATGCCTTTTGTTTCTTGTTCTTGTCCAGTTGCTCTGGCTAGAACTTCCAGCACAGTGTAGAATAGCAGTGACAAAAGCAGGCATCTTGTCTGGTTCTTGATATTGGGAGGGAAAGCTTTTCACTCTTTCATGACTGAGTATCTTGGTCGTTGTGGATTTTCATATACATTCTTTATCATGTTGAAGAACCGTATTTCTAGTTTTCTGAATGTGTTTTAATCATGAAAGTGCTTTGAATTCTGTCAGATGCTTTTTCTGTGTCAAATGAGATGATTTTGTGATTTTTCTCCCCTTCATTCTACTAACGTAGTGCACTGCATTCATGGATTTTCTGTCGATTGATTGATTGAAGTATAGTTGATTTACAATATTGTGTTAGTTTCAGATTACAGCATAGTGATTTAGTGTTTTTTGCAGATTATATTCCATTATAGCTTATTACAAGATAATGGGTATAATTCCCTGTGCTATACAGCAAATCCGCTTATCTATTTTATGTATAGTAGTTTGTATCTGTTAATTCCATACCCTAATTTGTCCCTTTTCTCTTCTCACTCCCCCTTGGTAACCACAAGTTTGTTCTCTATATCTGTGACTCTGTTTCTGCTTTGCATACACTGTCATTTGTATTTTTTTTTTTTTGGTTCTACGTATAAGCAATATCATTACCATATTTGTCTTTCTCTGTCTGACTTATTTCATGAAGCATGATATTCTCTAGGTTCATCCATGTTGCTGCAAAGCAAAGTATTTTATTGTTTTTTGTGGTTGAGTAATGTTCCATTGTATGTATATACCACATCTTCTTAATCCAGTCATCTGTTGATGGGTACTGGGGTTCCTTCCATGTCTTGAGTATTGTAAATAGTGCTGCTGTGTTCACTGGGGTGCATGTTATCTTTTTGGATTAGAGGGTTTTTCCAGATACACCCAGGAGTGGAATTGCTGGGTCATATGATAGTTCCGTTTTTAGTTTTTTAAGTAACTTTCATACTGTTTTCCATAATGGCTGCACCAATGTAAATTCTTACCACCAGTGTTCGGGGATTCCCTTTTCTCCACATCCTCTCCAGCATTTGTTATTTGTAGGCTTTTTGATGATAGCCATTCTGACAGGTGTGAGGTGATAGCTGATTGTGGTTTTGATTTGCATTTCTCTAATAATTAGCAATGTAGAGTATCTTTTCATGTGCCTGTTAGCCATCCGTATGTCTTCTGCCCATTGTTTGATTGGGTTGTTTGTTTGTTTTTGTTTTTGTTTTGCGGTACGCGGGCCTCTCACTGTTGTGGCCTCTCCCGTTGCGGAGCACAGGCTCCGGACGTGCAGGCTCAGCGGCCATGGCTTACGGGCCCAGCCGTTCCACGGCATGTGGGATCTTCCTGGACCGGGGCACGAAACCGTGTCCCCTGCATCGGCAGGCGGACTCTCAACCACTGCGCCACCAGGGAAGCCCGGGTTGTTTGTTTTTTTTTTGTTATTGAGCTGTATGAGCTGTTTGTATATTTTGGATATTAACCCTTGTCAGTCTCATCGTTTGCAAACATTTTCTCCCATTCAGTAGGTTGTCTTTTCATTTTGTTAACGGTTTCCTTTGTTGTGTAAAGCCTTTTAAGTTTAATTAGGTCCCATTTGTTTATTTTTGCTTTTATTTATTTTGCCTTAGAAGACTGATTCAAGAAAATATTGCTACAATTTATTTCAAAGAGTGTTCCACCTATGTTCTCTTCTAGGAGTTGTTTTTTTTTTTTAATTTTATTTATTTATTTATTTATTTATTTATGGCTGTGTTGGGCCTTCGTTTCTGTGCGTGGGCTTTCTCTAGTTGCGGCGAGGGGGGGCCGCTCTTCATCGCGGTGCGCGGGCCTCTCACTGTCGCGGCCTCTCTTGTTGCGGAGCACAAGCTCCAGACGCGCAGGCTCAGTAGTTGTGGCTCACGGGCCTAGTTGCTCCGCGGCATGTGGGATCTTCCCAGACCCGGGCTCGAACCTGTGTCCCCTGCATTGGCAGGCAGATTCTCAACCACTGCGCCACCAGGGAAGCCCTCTTCTAGGAGTTTTATGGTTTCAGATCTTACATTTAGGTCTTTAAGCCATTTTGAATTTATTCTTGTATGTGGTGTGAGGGAATGTTCTAATCTCATTGTTTTACATGTAGCTGTCCAGTTTTCCCAGCAACACTTGTTGAAGAAACTGTCTTTTCTCCATTGTATACTCTTGCCTCCTGTGTCATAGATTAGTTGACCATAAGTGTGTGGGTTTATTTCTGGGCTCTTTATTCTGTTCCTTTGATTTATATGTCTGTTTCTATGCCAACACCACACTGTTTTGTTTACTATAGCTGTGTAGTATAGTATAAAGTCTGGAAAGGTTATGCCTCCAGCTTTGTTCTTTTTCCTCAGGATTGCTTTGGCAGTTCTGGGTCTTTTGTGGTTCCATATAAGTTTTAGGATTATTTATTCTAGTTCTGTGAAAAATGTCATGGGTATTTTGATAGGGATTGCATTAAATCTGTAGGTTGCTTTGGGTAGTATGTTCATGTTAACAATATTAATTCTTCCAATCCAAGAGCATGGGATATCTTTCCATTTCTTTGAATCATCTTCAGTTCCCTTAATCAGTGTTTTATGGTTTTAGCATATAGATCTTTCTACTTCCTTGGTTAAGTTTATTCCTAGGTTTTGTGTTTTGTGTTTTTTTTTGGGGGGGGATGCAATTTTAATAAACAGGATTGCTTTTTTTACTTCCTCTGTCTGATATTTCATTGTTAGTGTATAGAAACACAGTAAATTTCCGTATATTAATCTTACATCCTGCTGCCTTGCTGAATTCATTTATTAGTTCTAATAGTTTTTATGTGGAAACTTTAGAGTTCTCTATATAGAATATCATGTCATCTGCAAATAGTGATAGTTTTACCTTTTCCCTTCCAATTTGGATGCCTTTTATTTCTTTTTCTTGTAGCTAGGACTTACAATATTATGTTAAACAGAAGCAGGAAGGGTGGACATCCCTGTCTAGTTCCTGAATTTATTGGGAAAGCCTTCAGTTTTTCACTGTTGCGTATTATGTTGGCTGTGGATTTGACATGGTCGGCTTTTATCATGTTGAGTTATGTCCCCTCTGTACCCACTTTGGTGAGAATTTTTATCATGAATCGTTGTTGAATTTTGTCAGATGCTTTTTCTGCATTTATTGAGATGATCATGTGATTTTTATCTATTCTTTTGTTAATGTGGTGTATCACATTGATTGATTTACATATTTTGAACCATCCTTGCAACCCTGGAGTGAATCCAACTTGAGCATGGTATCCTTAGTATGTATTGTTGGATTCAGTTTGCTAATACTTTGTTGAGGATTTTTGCATCTGTATTCATCAAAGATTTGGGGTTGTAAGTGTCTTTGTCTGGTTTTGGTATCAGGGTAATGGTGGTTTCATAGTATGAATTTCGGAGTGTTCCCTCCTCTTCATTTTTTTGGAATAGTTTGAGAAGGATAGATTTAAGTTTTTGTTTTTGTCTTTTTGTATGTTTGGTAGAATTCCCTAGTGAAGCTCTCTGGTAGTGGACTTTTGTTTGCAGGGAGTTTTTTAAATTATAGGTTGTATTTCACTTCTAGTGAATGGTCTGTTCAAATTGTTTCTTCTTGACTCAGTTTTGGCAGGCTGTATGTTTCTAGAAACTTGTTCACTTGTTCTAGGTTGTCCAATTTGTTGGCATATAACTGTTTGTATTCTTTCATGATTTTTTGTTTTTCTGTGGTTTCAGTTGTTTCTCCTCTTTTATTTCTTATTTTGTTTATTTGGGTCCTCTCTCTCTTCTTGTTGGTGAGCCTCGCTAGAGGTTTATCAATTTGGTTTATCTTAAAAACAAAAACAGCTCTTGGTTTTATTGATCTTTTCTATTGCTTTTTTGATGTCTTTTATTTCCTCTCTGATCTTTATTATTTCTTCCTTCTGCTGACTTTGGGTTTTGTTTGTCCTTCTTTTTCTCATTCTTTTAGGTGGTAGGTTATCTTGTTTGAGATTTTTCTTGTTTTTGTGGAAGGCCTGTATTGCTATGTGCTTCCCTCTTAGAACTGCTTTTGCTGCATCCCATAGATTTTGTAAGATTGTGTTTCTATTTTCATTTGTCTCAAGATATTTCTGATCTCCTCTTTGATTTCATCATCAACCCATTTGCTTTTTAGTAACATGTTGTTTAGTCTCCATGTGTTTGTTCTTTTCCTGTTTTCCTTTCTGTGGTTGATTTCTAGTTTCTTACCGTTGTGGTGAGAAAAGATGCTTGAAAATATTTCTGTCCTCTTAAACTTGTTGAGGCTTGTTTTGTGACCAAGTATGTGTCTATCCGTGAGAATGTTCCTTGCTGGCTTGAAAAGAATGTATATTTGGTGTTTTTCTTATTTAGTGTCCTGTAGATATCTATTAAGTACAGTTGGTCCATTGTGTCATTTAGGACCTCTCTTGCCATACTGATTTTCTGTCTGGATGATCTGTTCATTGATGTCGGTGGGATGTTATAGTCCTCTATTGTTATTGTATTCCTGTGAATTTCTCCTTTTACGTCTGTTAATATTTGTTTTATATATTTAGGTGCTCCTGTATTGGAAACGTATATGTTAACAAGTGTAATACGCTGTTGTACTGATGCCTTTATTGTTATGTAATATCCTTCTTTGTCTTTCTTTATGGTCTTTGTTTTGAAGTCTGCTTTGTCTTTTGTTAAGTATTGCTGTGCCCGCTTGCTTGTTGTTTCCATTTGCATGAAATATTTTTCATACTTCGCTTTCAGTCTGTGCGCGTCTTTCGCCATGAAGCGAGTTGCTCGTGGCAGCATCTTGTAGGTTCTGCGTGAAATTCACTGCTTAGCTGCTGCACCTTGTTGAGGTGCCACGTGTGGCATGCGCTGACACTGTCTTCCCAGCATGCCCCGTCGCCCCTGTGTGTGCACTGACGGGAGTCTTCACAGTCCCGCCTGGATCACATCCCAGGCACCCCGTCTGCCTCTGCGCAGCTAGACCCAGTCTCTGCACTGATCTCACGCCAGGCCGTGGTGTGGAGTGAGCGGGGCCAGGGCATTCGCCCCTGTGAATTGGGAAGTGCGGGGAGGCGGCCACCACCAGGGCAGGTCTCTCTGTCCTGGTTGTTAGCAAGCCAGCCCGCATGCTCCTCTTGAGTAGAGTCTAGGCTTCTCCAGCCCTTCTGTCTGTCTCAGTGGGCTTCCCAGCAGGAAGGGGACTCCCCAGGGCAAGCGGACACCTTCTCTTCCTGACAGATCCCTCCCAGGAGTGCCGGTCCCAACCTGGTACCTTTCTTTTTTGCATCCTACCCGATTACATGGAGATCTTTCTTGCAGCTTTGGTTATGGGAGATCTTCTGTGAGTTTCCAGTTAGTTTTCTGTGGGAGTTATTGCTCGTGTAGATGTGTTTTTGGTGTGTTTGTGGGGGGAGGTGAGCTCCACGTCCTCATACTCTGCTGTCTTGATCCCCCTCTATTGGGAGGGCTTGATTTTTGACTCAGTCTCTCGTTATAGGTCTCTTCAGAGTCTCTGTTTTCTCTTGAGTTAGTTTTGGTAATTTGTATGTTTCTAGGATTCGGCCTTTTCACTTGGCTCACCTTGTATTTAGTGTAGGGATCATACAGTTTTGTAACTTAAATTTTTTCTTCAGTGACGTACTTGTGAAAGGTGGTGACCACGCGTCTTTGCGAGGCACAAGATCGCTTCCAGAGCGCTGTCGTGTACCTGACCTTATTCAGTCTTCCCTGTGGTCTTGTGAGGAGGACGAGGTGGGGATGTTCCGGATGGAGGTTCTAGGTTTAAACCATCATTCAGCCGCCTGCTGGTGCTCAGTTTCCCTGGCTTTTACACCCGTGCCCCTGCACCACCCACACACTGAGAAAGAGAGGAGCCAACCAACACTCGTATGGTGTGCACTGTGCCAGTTAAGAGCGTGTTGTCAGCCACACTGGAGGGGTGAGTTCTGTTTTCCACGTTTTCCCACTGATGCCCTTTTCCTGTCCCAGGATGCAGTCCAGGCATTAGTGATCTTGTCACCCCAGCGCCCCATCCCCTCCAGGCCGTGACAGTGTCCCAGTCCTCCTGGACACTCCTGAGGAGTGCTTTTTAGGAATTTTGTAGAGTTCCTCAATTTGGGTTTCTTTGATGTTTTCTCATCCGCCGTTTTTAACTCCAGAAGAAACAAGGCAAAAGTAGTTATTTTTTTCAATATAACTGGCTTTTCACAGAAAACCTGCCTTCCTGTTTCTGACTTTTGCTCTTGCTTTCTGAGGAGGGAAGATGACTAGTGATTCATGAGGACGCCAGGACCCTGAGGTCTGTGTGGGAAGATCTTGCTCACGTGCTGTCCCACTGTTGTTGTTTTGGAGGTTAATTCCCATGAGGAGGCTCCCATCCTTCCAAGTTCACAGAATTTTTAGAGCTGCAGCCTCTGGTTGAAATATTCGCTCTGGGGAGGTTGAGTGCACGGGAGGGGTTCTCGGACCTGATGACGATGATGCCTTTTCTCTCGAAGTGGTGTTTTGCTTTATTGTTTTATCACAAACACAACACATGTTGAAAACAGAACAATCAGAAGATAGGTGAGCCGGAAAAAAAACAAACACCTATAAACACCCATAACCCAATATGGATGCTTTTCCAAATACACATACATGTTTATGTCTGGACACGATTTTTTCTTACAAAAATTAACATAACTCATTAAAAAGCAAACATTTATTTTCCTTTAATATACGGTTACCTTTCCCCATTTTTCTACAAAGATAAATCTCTACAGCATCATTTTAATAGTGTTGAGGGTTCCGGGCTTCTACTGTTAGACAATTTGGTTGTTTCCCTTTTATAAATCGGCACCACAACAAACAGCATGGAATTATGCAAATGCTTAATTCTTTCCTGAGGATAAGCACGTTGTTCTTTTTCATCATAGATATTTTTACTGATTCTCCGGGCCCTACATCTCCCTACCCGACTCGTATTGTCTCTACAGCCAATTCCTCTGAAGTTATCAGCAGCGAAGGTGAGGTTCCCGGGGCTTCCAGAGAAAAGAGTAGTTGGTCAGGGAGGAGTGAGAAATTATGAGACTTAGAGCAAACAGATCTGCTCATTAGACGATTTTTAAAAATCAGTCTTCGTGGAGCAGGGTTCCTCTGAGCCTGCCTGGCACAGGCCCTGTGCTGGGAAGACTGGGCGCCTGGGTGGGTGTCTAGCAGCCGGGCTTTGCGTGCGTAGAGGGGCCTGCGAGAGCCTGGGCTCCTTCGTGCTCTGGTTTCTGTTCTGTAAATGGTGGAATAAAAAGGTATTGGTCATCCTCAGCAGTGTGGAGAGAGGACGGTGAGGACTCAGAGCTCTGCCATCATCCAAGGAGGCTGAACACTGTGCTCCTTGGGGTGCTGGCATTGTCCGAAATTCGGTCCAGGCGTCAAGTTTAATAATTTCTGAATTCTTAATGCTGTGACTTTGTTTGCAAAATGCCTTATGTGCAAGGTGAGTACTATTGCTGAGGAAACTGAGACTCAGAGGTTACATAATTTATCTGAATCACGTAAAAAATGAGAAAGCAGAAGTGGAGTTTGAACCCGGGTTTGTTTCCACATCCTGTGCTCTTTTCCCTGTGCTACACTTTGTATTGAAAAGAATTAGAGTGTGGCCTTATTTAAGGTGCTGCAGAATTTAGTGACTGCTTCCTTACAGTCCTGGAGGGTAGCCAGCCTGTCACTGTCTGAGCTGGGAATGTCTTGTGTACGCTGGTGTTCCATTGTGACTTAGCCCCATTAGATGCCAGAGTCTTTATTGCATCACTAGCAAAAAAAGAAAACGCAAAAATTTCCTATTCTGTTTAAGGGAAAGAAACCTTCCAAGGAGAGATCCACAGAGGGTCCTGGAGGCTCCTCAGAAACTTCCAGCCAAGTTCCTGGAAAGCCAAGCAAACCAGAGACCAGCAGAGGAAGCAGACAAGAGGACATGTCTTCTGAGGGCACTGGCAGTGCACCTGACAAAGCGAAGGGGAGCAAGGCGGCTGCCACCAGGAAGAAGCGGAGAGAGCCCTCCTCCAGCAGGAAAGAAGAGGGCAAGGCCGGGGGGCAGACGGAGGGGACTCAGAGGCGTTTGCGGGGCCGGGAGCGGCAGGCGGCCGCCAGGGTGTCTTACAAAGAGGAGAGCGGGAGTGACAAGGCCAGCAGCAGCTCTGACTTTGAGCTCTCCAGCTCGGACAGCCATCGCCCATCCGACGAGGATTCTGAGCCAGGCCTTCCAAGGCAGAGGAGGGCCGCTGCCCCTCAGAGGATGAAGGTGGGGTCCAAGAGGGAGTCCAGGTCCCAGCGTGGAAGCGACCGTCAGCCCCCTGGCTTTCCAGAAGCATCTGTAAGCGCTTCCGGCAGTAAGCGTAAGAGAGGCAAGCGTAAGATGCCCGTGGATGGTGAGGAGGCAGACGGCCGGAGAGCAGCTGGTGTGGACCAGTGGCTGGAGGTATTCTCTGAGCAGGAGGAGAAATGGGTGTGCGTGGACTGTGTGCACGGTGTAGTGGGCCAGCCCCTGACCTGCTACCAGTACGCCACCAAGCCTGTGACCTACATCGTGGGCATCGACAGCGACGGCTGGTTGCGCGATGTCACACAGAGGTACGACCCTGCCTGGATGACGGTGACCCGAAAGTGCCGGGTTGATGCCGCGTGGTGGGCCGAGACCCTGCGACCCTACCGGAGCCCGCTGGTGGAGAGGGAGCAGAAGGAGGACCAGGAGGTGAGGCCTTGCGCACGCGCACCTGCTGGATGCCCAGCCCCGTGTTGTGTTTTTACCTCAATTAATTGTCACAGCAACAGTACAAAGCTGGGGTTATCGTAGCCTTAATTTTACCAGCTAAACGTTTAGAATCTGAGAGATGAGCCAACCTGGTATTTGAACCCAGGTTGCTCTGGCTTCAAAGCCTGTGTACTTTCAGTTATTGCCCAGTTATAAATTTGGAGCTTTACGTCAGGTAAGTAGTCCTGAGTGAAAGAGGAAAACACGCAGTAATATAATTGGTCCCCTTCTCAGCGTGCACACGCGCAGAGGTGTGCACGCCAGCACCCCTGCCCCGACCCGGAACACTCAGCTCCCAGGAGGAGGGCTGAGGAGATGGCTTGTCTGTTGAGGGGCACCCTGGGGGGTGGCTTCTGGAGCAGCAGCGCGTCCCTGAGTCGTGGGACAGCCGTGGGCCCGGAAGAGGGCCCGGGGCTTGTGCAGGGCTGCCCACAGCGCAGGGTGGGCAGACTTGCTAGAGAGTTATTCCCAGTTCCCCGGGGCAGGGAGTCGTCCCTCTGCACTGCATCGCTCAGGGTGTGGCTCAGAGGTGACAGGGCCGTGGGAGTCGTGCAGAGCGTGTTGTGACTGACCTGGTTCAAGGGCTTGTCATGCAAGCTGGCCAAGCGGGGTCCCTCCTGCTCCCCACTTGCCGCTCCTCCCTTGTCTGTCGGGGTTTGAAGAGATGCTGCGGGGAAATGCAGGAGACCTGGTGAGTGGGATGCAGGTGAGAGCAGTGGGGTTGCCTGCGAAGAGCCAGGCTCCTTGAGGCAGCGGGGAGAACAGGTGTTGATCGTAGTGGACGGAGAAGGTGTGAGTGCTCATTCTGGTTTCCGGGGGAGCCAAGCCGCTGAACCCATGTCACAGAATTGTGGTGTCACTTGAGGTGAGGCCTCCTCCCGAGGAAGGCTCTGCTCGGGCCGGCCGAGGTGTCAGAGGGTAGGGCTGACTTTTCTGTTGCTGCGAGCTGCAGGATTACCGGCCCCTGCGGAGCTTCCGAGGCACCTAAACCCGTGGGACAGAATGCCAGGTCACAGCGTGGTGCGGCGGCCCTGGGGCCCCGAAAGCCCCACGGCACCGTCAGTTACCTGGGCAAGTTCGGGGGTCGCCGCCAATCTCCCTCCCTCTCCGAGCACCATGCCCAACGTCGTCTCTCGGCCTCTGCAGTTTCAGGCGAGGCACCTGGACCAGCCTCTGCCCACCGTCATAGGCATGTACAAGAACCACCCTCTGTACGCCCTCAAGAGGCACCTCCTCAAGTACGAGGCCATCTACCCCGAGACGGCCGCCATCCTCGGGTACTGCCGTGGAGAGGCTGTCTACTCCAGGTGAGGAGACGCCCGGCGGCCTGGGATTAGCAGCCTTCGCCGGGCTGGGGTTCGAGCTTCACGGTGTGCGCATGCCGTTTGTGGGCGGGGGGCATGGCAGAGAGGTTGCGGCCTGGAAATGAAAACCACGGGGATTACAAGATCAGCAGGGGGCTTCCCTGGTGGCACAGAGGTTGAGAGTCCGCCTGCCGATGCAGGGGACACGGGTTCGTGCCCCGGTCCGGGAGGATCCCACGTGCCGCGGAGCGGCTGGGCCCGTGAGCCATGGCCGCTGAGTATGCGCGTCCGGAGCCTGTGCTCCACAACGGGAGAGGCCACAACACTGAGAGGCCCGCGTGCCGCAAAAAATAAATAAATAAAATTTAAAAAAAAAGATCAGCAGGGGGAGAAAAGCTATGGGGGGAAAGATACGTAGGACAGATAAGGATTATATGGGGTAATAAGAAAACACCCCCCAAAACAGAAGTCAAAAAACATGCAAAAGGAAGGAATAAAGGATTTGATAATGAACCTTAAAATGAGCAGGTATTTTAATGGGGACAGAGTTTCAGTTTGGGAAGAGGAGAAAGTTCTGGAGATGATGGTGGTGACGGTTACATAACAGTATGAATGTACTTGATGCCACTGAGCTGTAGACTCGGAAAATGGTTCAGAGGGTAAATTTTATCTTATGTGTGTTTTTTCCCACAGTAAAAAGAAATTGCCAAAGAAGGGGGGGAAGGGAACAGCATAGAAAACAAAATATATACAAAGTTAAAACTGAGAAAAAATGTAATAAACTTAAGGTGAGTCAGAATTAATAATGGCAGAAATTTAAGAAATGTTAATAGAAAGAAAATAAGTGATTTTTAGAAACTCTAAAAGACCAAGACCAAGATGCAAGACCACAAAATAGAGGATGTTCTTAATAAACGGGAAAAGAAAGACAGAAAAGGAAACTTAGGGAAACTCACAGGAGTAGGTGGCTCAAGTCCTCTGCCTGAGAGCTACTTCCTGCAGCACAGCCCCGAGGGGAGTCATCCCTGACCCTCCGGTTAGGGTCACTGTGGGAGCTTTCTGTCCCCTGGCTGGTCAGGGGCCCAGCTGCCGACAGTCAGCGTCCAGGGCCTGGCGACCTCAATGGAGGATACAGCACAGGTGTCCTCACGTGCAGGGGACATCTGGTGGGAAGGGGGTGCCTGCCTGGAGAAAGCTTTCGGGGCAGACTTTTTCTGTTTTTAATGTAATAAAATATACAGAACGAAATTTACCACGTAACCGCTTTAAGAGTCCAGTAGCACTAAGTACATTCACATTGTTGTGAATCACCGCCATTCCAGAACTTTTCTGTCTTCCCAAACTGTCCCCATCAACACTAAGCCCCCTCCCGCCTCCCAGGCCCTGGTAACCACCCTCTACTTTGTCTCCATGAATCTGACTCCTCCAGGCACCTCATAGAAGTGGCTCCTACAGCATTTGTCCTTTTGTGACTGGCATCCGTTGATGGACACTTGTGTTGCTTCCCCTTTTGGCTGTTGCGTTTAGTGCTGCTATGAACATGGGTGCACAGACATCTCTTGAGACCCTGCTCTCAGTCCTTTGGGATGTATATGCCCAGAAGTAGGATTTCTGCATCACGTGATGGTTGTTTAACTTTGTAAAGAACCTCCACACTGTTTTCTGCAGTGGCTGCATCATTTTACATCCCCCAGCAGAGCATGAAGGTCGCACTGTCTCTGCATTCTCGCCAGTTCTTGTTTTCTGTTTCTTGAGTAGTGTCCCAATAGATGTAAAGTGGTTAGACGCTGAGATTTATTCTGAACGGGCTGTCTGTACCCACTTCCCTCTGCTATCCTTGTGAATGTCCAGACGATGCCCACCTGCTTGCCCCTTCTCCGCTCGTCCCGGAAGACCATGACCGTGACAGTCACTCTTTCAGGCAGAGATGTGCCCCTGCGGTGGGCACGCGTGTGGAGCCCTTGGCTCTGGTCCCGCCAGCAGCTTGTGAGGCAGGGAGGCAGCACTCACTGTTCCTGATGGATCGGGGGTCACCCCGCTAGGAAGGGGCACAGAGGAGGTGTGACCCTGTCCGGTGCATTGTGCTGGACGTCAGCCTCAGCCCGGGGGCAGGCGAAGGGCCGGATGTCTGCACCAGAGGGAGCTTAGTGCCCCTGCTCCTTGGAGCCCTACTGAAGGGCGGGCCTTGCTGAAGGCTCAGCAGGAAGCAGCTGGAATGTGAGGCAGGGTGTGGCTCTAAGCTCTGGAAGGAGAGCCAAGCCAGAGCCAGGTGGAACCGATTGTTCTGGGTGCATTCATCCTAACCTGTGTACTTTGTCAGTTTACGGTAGTCTCCGTGTTGTCGTCTTCTGGCTTCCCCACCCCTTCTCTGGACACTCGTCCCTCCCTCCCCGTCTCTGGTATTCAGGAGCAGACCAGACCCTGGGTGAGGGCTTGCACCTGTGCTGCTGGGCTTTTCCCCGCCCCCGGCTGCTGGGCCCTTCCGGCAGGAGGAGGGGGAAGGCACCACGGGAAGCCATTTAGTTTGGGATTTGTGAGTGGATGCATCCCCCCGCGAGACAGCAGGTGCCTGTTAACCGTGGGCCTGACGCAGGCCCCTGGTGCCCCGGGAGACGCTCCAGGGCCGAGCTCCCCCTTCTCCTGGGGGGCCAGAGGAGGCAGCCGGGCCCTGCGGGCTACTGGGCACGGGGTGCTTCAGTGGGCGTGAACCCTGTCTTGTCTCCCGTTGGCTCCTTAGGGACTGCGTGCACACCCTGCACTCCAGGGACACGTGGCTGAAACAGGCCCGAGTGGTGAGGCTTGGAGAAGTGCCCTACAAGGTAACAGCCCCAGGACTGTGGGCTGCCGCGCACGCGTGGGGACAGACTGTTCTGGCTTGAGAGGATCAGAGGAGAAGAGCATCTTTACTGAGGACCTTGTAAGAGATGGGCCTTCCCGAGCACACAGGAAATCTAGGCCAGCAAGCAGCCCTCCAAGCCCCGGTGTTGTGGGTCAGAACCTTAGCCTTGTGGGTCAGAACCATGTCACCCATTTGTTCTGAGAGGCCAGAGCCCTGCCTGGCGTGGACAGGCCCACCCGCCCTCACTGTCCCTTCATTTTGCATGTATGTGATCTTTGCTGAGTCTCACAGGAGTTAGCATCAGGATGCCCGTTGTACAGATGAAAAAACAGGAGCTCAGAAAGGGAAACCTGTCCAAGGCCTGAGCTAGTGAGATGGCAGCGTGCAGCCCCAATGCCTCATTCCCTCTCTGGCCGGTCAGCTGCCCACAGACGCATGAATTCAGCGCAGACCGCACAGGCTGTCACGGGACATAGGGCCCGCTTCAGCCGGCAGAGGACGGTGGCCAGTCATGAGACACAGTCGCTTTTCTTTGTCAGATCCCTGGGAGGAGCCCTTCGCATTGTGAGACCCAGGGAGCTGGGCCGGGGTGCAGGGGCCTCTGGTTGGTGGGAAGGGGCTGAGGCACGGGGAGCCGGTCACTGCCAAAAGCAGGCCCCGTCACTCACCGGCCACAGGAACATCTCTGAGTCCCAATCTCCCCTTCAGTGATGGACACCAAACACAGCATAGCTGTTCAAGACACACGCTCTACAAGCTGTGTGACTGTAGGTGAATTGTTTACACCTCCTAGGCTGCTATAAGATGGAGGTGATAATAGATTCTACTTCCTGGGTTTGTTGAAAAGATTAATCAATACACAGAAGCACTGAGAACAGTGCCCGGTGTACAGTGAATGCTCAGGAAGTGGTTGCCTTTGTTATAAACTGTGGCTGTCCCCTCGGATGTAGGTTGTAAAAGGCTATTCCAACCGGGCCCGGAGAGCCCGCCTGGCTGAGCCGCAACTGCAGGACTACAATGACCTGGGCCTGTTTGGCAAGTGGCAGACCGAGGAGTACCAGCCGCCGGTGGCTGTGGACGGGAAGGTAAGGGCCGCGCTCAGTGGTACCAGGCCACCTGGTAGGTAAGGGCCACGCTCAGTTGGTACCAGGCCACCTCCCTCTGGGGCCGCCGGACCCAGTGTGCCACCCTCCGCAGGTCCCCCGGAACGAATTTGGCAACGTGTACCTCTTCCTGCCCGGCATGATGCCTGTCGGCTGCGTCCAGCTGAACCTGCCCAACTTGCACCGCGTGGCCCGAAAGCTGAACATTGACTGTGCCCAGGCTGTTACGGGCTTCGATTTCCACAAAGGCTACTCCCATCCCATGTGCGTGAGGGGCCTCCCGTGGAGGCCAGAAGGGGTGGGGGGAAGTTATGGAGAAGGGGCCGGAGGTTGGTGTGGGGCTGGCAGGGGTTGAGGCCCAGTGGCTCTTACTTTAAGTTTTCTTTTGTTTTTTTTTTTTTTTCGGTACGCGGGCCTCTCACTGTTGTGGACTCTCCCGTTGCGGAGCACAGGCTCCGGACGCGCAGGCTCAGCGGCCATGGCTCACGGGCCCAGCCGCTCCGCGGCATGTGGGATCTTCCCAGACCGGGGCACGAACCCGTGTCCCCTGCATCGGCAGGCGGACTCTCAACCACTGCACCACCAGGGAAGCCCTAAGGTTTTACTCTGGATTTGCAAAATCAGCCTTAACCCTCGATGTTTTATACTTTTACTCTGGCTTCCAACCAGAGGCTGCAAAACCAGTGAAAGCTGCGAAACCAGCATCCTAACGATGTGGATCAACACACTGTTCTGGGGGTGGTCAGGGTGACTGAATAGGGTCAGCATCCTTCCTGGTTGGTGACCTCTGTCCTGCCCTGCAGTGGGGGTGGGGAGGGGCTGGGGAAGAGGAGACAGCCTGGGGTCCACGGGCCTGCCTTCTGCGTGGGTGGTGTCAGCCAGCAGCTGTGGCCGGGACTGTGGACTCCTGTCCCTGGAAGTACTTCAGGGCCCCAAGTGCTTAGGAGCAGCCGACTGTCCCCCACGGAGGGGAGTGGAGAGGCCAGAGCAGGCCCAGACTCGAGAGAGACCATCTGTGTTGATCCCCACAGAACCGATGGCTACATAGTCTGTGAGGAATATAAAGATGTGCTCCTGGCCGCCTGGGAGAACGAGCAGGCGCTCATTGAGAAGAAGGAGAAGGAGGTGAGCAGGCAGGGCCTGGGAGGGGCCGAGACGGGGAAGCAGAAAGGTGGGGAAGCACACACAGCGGAGCGGGTGTTTCCTCCAGCCTCCCTCACTCCACGTGTAAGAGAAGGGGAGAGCCCGGGTTCAGCCCTCTTTCTGGCTCTTTCTTCCTGGAAGGCAGCACTGAGCAATGACCTGCCTGCCCCTCAGAACCCTGTCTGTGTCCACTGTCTGCCTGGATCCGGGCTCCGGGGCCCGCTACCCCTGCTGCCGACACCCACCTCTGTTAAAGGGAGCTGCCCGTGGTCCAGGTCCCGGACCCCCTCCTCCACTAAACACTTTAGAGTTGGTAACAATAAAGAGGTGTTTGGTTTTGGTGCCTTTCACGTGTGGCACTTTATGAATCACACCTGGTACGGTTGAGAAACTATTTTAACCTGAAGCGTTACCTGTATCTTTATGTTCCTGAAACGGCAGTGCACAGTGTTTTCCATTCTGTTTGCTTTTGCAGAAAAGGGAGAAGCGGGCTCTGGGGAACTGGAAGCTGCTGGTCAAAGGGCTGCTCATCCGGGAGCGGCTGAGGCTTCGCTACGGGGCTCAGGTCAGGGTGGTCCTTGGAGGACACGCCAGGTTTGGAGGGGGGGGAGTTAGGGAACCAGGGGCCGATTCTGCTCAAAGATCAAGTCAGTTCTGTTCCGGTGCCACAGACCTGTGTCTCCCAGGCCCTGCGTCCTGTCCACGTTGAGAAAGGTGTCCAAGGTGTCCTGGAGTCAGGCTTCGGCTGCTCTGCCAGCCCCGCCCTGTCTGCACGAGAGGGTGCCTGCTATGGGTTGGATCTGGTGCTGAGCCCACTCGGGGCGGGGGGACAGGTGTCTGCATCTCCTGGCCTTGTGCTGCCCCTGGGGCTGTGACCACCCCTCAGGCCCACAGGTGCTCATTCAGGCCCCTCTCACAGCCCCTGCGGGCTCCCATGGGGGCACAGAGGCCCCCCGGACACAGTCACGTGGAGTGGTCAGAGACGCACAGACACGCTCTGGGGGCAGCTGCGACCCCACGCACGGCTCCCCCTGCCCTCCCCAGCCCGTCCTCGCAGCAGTGGGCACTGAGCGCTGATGCTGTGCATTCGTGCACTTGTTCTGTTTAGAAGCGAGGAAGAAAACGGAGTTACCTCCTCCTGGATTGCTTGTAGCTCCCCAAGGGCAGTTTTGTGGCCCTAGCCCTGTGTGCACAGCAAGCGCTCTAGGACCTGCCGGGCTGAGCCCTGTCCTCTGGGTCACGGCTCAGCGCTGCTGGGGCGTCACTGCCTCTTGACGGGGCTTCCTCCACTGTCCCCCCCAGAGTGAGGAAGCCGCTCCCCACGCAGACGCAGGAGGAGGACTCTCTTCAGACGAGGAGGAGGGGACCAGCTCTCCAGCGGAAGTGGCCAGGATCCTGGCAGCCTCCTGGCCCCAAAACCGAGAGGTAGAGGAGAAGCGGAAGTGCCCCCGGAAGAGCAGGAGGGAGGAGAAGGAGGCAGCTTCCCACCTGTTCCCGTTTGAGAAGCTGTGATGTGAGTGGTCACCTCCTCGGTGGCTCAGCCGTGCCCCAGACCTTGCTCCCGGATAGATCCCTCCTGCGTCTGACACGTGTGCTGTTGCAGACTCGGGCCCCTTCTCTGCAGGCCCCTCGTTGCCCTCAGTCAGGTCCCTGAAGCCGCCTGACGCCGTGGGGGGAGAGCAGGTCAGTGCAGGCCGTCTCAGGGTGACATGGCTGGACCTACATTCCCAGGTAACACTTCGCGGTGGCAGAAGACTAGAACAAAGAGCGAAAGTCAGGCAAGGAAAGGACAAACGATGAGAATTAGAGAAATGTCAGGAAGGGTGGATCACTGTTAAAGGAGATTTTATTCATTACTGGATACATTTATAAAGCCTTATGCGCTGTAGATATTTAGGAGAAGTCACTTTTATAACATTTTGAGGAAAAAAATAAAGCATTTCTCTAGAAAGACGTGACTCCACGTTTTCTTTCAGATTTTACATCAGATAAGAACACTTGGATGACAGTGACTGTATACAGGTCGTGACTACATTAAAGATCAGATCTTGTTTTCCCACAGGCTGGGAACTTACCATTACACACATGGAATTTTTTTATTTCTATGTTTAATCCAGGATATATGATTTAATCTTTGACAGGAGCCATTAAAAATTTGAGTCAGTTTTATCCAAGGGAAACAAGCAAAACACTTGGGGTGTGACTCATGCAGCAAGAACTGGCAGGCAGGCTCCTGTTGTGAAACACATGGGGGTTGCCATGGAAACCGCCTGGTCTGGCACTGTGTGCACCAGAGCTGGCTCTCACCCTCCTGGAAGTGAGCACCGTGTTTTCTGGGAGTTGAGTCAAGAGCACTGCCCCGTCTCTGCAGGAATAACTAGTTCTTCAGGCAGATGGCAGCTCCTAGGATGCATCTTGGAAATGGAGTGAAACCTCAGGTTTTGAAAAGTTACCACTCACCTGCTTCAAATCCTGTAACAAGGGGAAAGAAGTTCAAATTGCAGGGTGGACACTTCGCGGCCGCCCACTTCTTCAGGCGCTCGTGGGCTTTATCTCACTCCATAGAGAGGCACTGTCCCCGTGTCACAAACGAGGAAGCTGAGGCTCAGGTCACTGCCATGCCTAGCGTCACACAGCTCGTCAGCGGCACATGCGGGATGCCTTTCGTGCCGGGTCCCGCCGGCTCCCTCCCACCTCTGAGAGCGATCTGAAGACCGGCAAAGGTGGGAGCCGCGTAAGTCCACACAAACCAGAGCAGGTTTCTAAGTGCTAGAGATACTGAGGTGCCTTCTCAAAAACTGAAACCAATTTTAACCACTGAAAGCAATTTAGAACCTAAGTTCCAAAAATTCATAGGGTTCTTAATAAATTCTATTGCTGAATTCTTTCAGACAGAAATTTCAGACAATGCAAAAAAAAAAGGGATAATGGCAAGTTCCTGTATCAAAAGATATTTCGAAATTTATTTTGAATTTTTATCAAAAATACAAAGATAATACAAGTTTCGTCATGATTTCCCGAAGGCCTGAAATATTTCTTAACATGATTTTGGTCTTTAAGAACACTTGAAATTGGCAGTAATTTAAAATCTGTGCCAGAAAAATATTACACAAACCAAATATCAAGGATTTTGTATTTAGCCATCATCTCGTCACTGTGCCTTCCAAAAGCATCTTTAAGAGTTGAGAGATCGAAGAAACTGTTCATTTAACAAGCAACAGTGAACAACACTATTTCAGTCCTTAAACCCAGATAACTCATCGCTGGGGCTGGCTGTTTTGAACATGAAAAATCTCAGTTTATACCGCAAATGCCCCAGGACAACGAGAGAGGTTATTAGCTCTTGTGTTTCAGAAGTTCTAAGCCCTATTCAGCTGCCAAATACTTACTCCATTAAAGCAGCCACTCCCAGCAAAACACAACAATTTCCAAATAGTTAAAAGATAAAGGACACACAAGTCTTTTAAGACATCAGTGTTACAACACACTTGATCTTTCAAAGGGTGTTGAGAGGAGTTGGGAAACTTAAACTGTGAATTAAATAAGCATGGGGAGATTTGATTTAGGAATAAAGCTGTGGACACTGGACACATAAATCACCCAGAAGCAGCCACTTGAGACCCAGATGCTAATGTCAAAAGCACACCTGTGATGAACAGAGCCAGGCCAGAGAGCTTTCAGATCTGCAGCCTCTGACGCCTGATTTTGGTTGGTGGGTGGGGTGTCACCACGAAGGAGCCCACTTAGGATAACTGACTAAAAACTCAAAATCATCTTCAAGAAAATCTGGGTTTTGATGCCAGAGGATGGAAGGAAATGCCTTTCTCTCCCGGATAGAGACGCCCATCTCCTCCCAGAGGGAAAACGAGCCTTTTGCTAACACGTTTCAAAGCACCTGAAGCTTTGAAAAGCTTCTCAGGGACCCAGAACACCGACAGGTTAACTTTCTCAACCAGGTAAGTAACAGCCCCACTGAACTTTCTGTGCTCTGAACTACCTTCAACTGACTGACAGATGAAAGGGTTTTTTTCTGTAACAGTCTGACATGTACATCATTCCAGAGGTGTTTGTTTTCTAGATCTGACTTGAAACTGCCCCCTCTTAGGGCAGGTCGGGGAGCTGTGTGCAGAGAAATGAAGTAGCAAGAAACAACCAGGCCTGTGGGGGTCCTACACGCCACAAAGATTCTGCCAAATGGTAATGTGCGTGCAAAGCCCAACAAACGTCCACCTTCCTCATCACCACACCCCCCGGTTCTCTTAAGTACCGAATCAAGCTCCATGCGCAGAGTGGGTTTGTGGCGCCCCTGCTGCCCTGTCCTGGGAGGCGGGCACGGCGGTGGCTGTGGTGGAGCCTGACACCGTCCCCAGGTCTGGGTGTCACCACCGCGGCAGACATCAGCTAAGTGAAACACGCAAGTGGCTGCACGGCCCCAAGAGAAGGAAAGGAAACAAGCAGGAGGGCGTGTGTCACGCTGCCAGACAGGAGCCACCTCCTGCCACCAAAGCTGCCCGCTGGCAAGAAGGGGTGCGAAGTGCTAAGTGATGGACGCCAACCCGACACCCATGCACACTGCTAAGGCTGCCACCTGAGTGGGGCGCGTGCGGAATCCAAGGCCGACGTGGGTTTGGGGGAGGGGATGACCTGGGTCCCGAGGCACAGGCAGTGTCCGGTGGGTGCCGGAGCCCCGGCTCACTCCAGCTTTTTGGCCGGTACCCGTGTCCGCGCAACGATGATGGGCACCAGCGCCAGGCAACTGATGACAAGCGCCCACAGGGGCCGGTGGAAAAGCCAGCCAGCGGCCACGGTCAGCAAGGTCAGCGAGGTGGCCACGCATAAGGCAAAGGCCTTCAGGCCAATGTTGACCAGGTCTCGGAAGATGGGGAACCAGTCCACTGTGGGCAAGAGAGAGGTAGTGAGGCTTCCCAGGCCCCCGTGCTCTGCTGTTCTCCCCGCCCCGCCAGCCACTGTCTCTGGACCAGGTGGGGAGGAAGAGGAAGTGGGGGGGGGGCATGTGGCCTGAGGGAGCTGGGAGGTCACACGAGGAGGAGCCCTGCTCCTGACTGCAGCCCGTCCCAGCCCCAGGGAGGGCGCGTGGTCGTGCTCGGAGACCTCGTGCGCTGAGGGCAGAACGGAGACTCTCCGGGGATGGTGGCAAGCACCTGGCTGCTGCCCCTCACAAAGCAGGCTGGGCCAAACCCCCTGGGGGGCTTATTTGGGCCCCTCAGCCCTTCCTGGAGGGACCTATTCGGTCACCCAAGCCGTTACCAGTTACCTGTGCACCCAGCTCCATGGAGGGGCTGAGGGGAACTCAACAGGCCCCAGCCGCCCACCTCGAGGACCCTGCAGTCTACCGCCCAACGTGATACAGTCTCGGATCCGTCATCCCTTGTGGAATTAGCCGTCCTTGGCCTCCTGGCCTCTGCAGGCAGGCGTTCCATAGCCATCATCCACTGGGGGGATCTGCACTCAGTTCCCATGGGCCAGAGGCCTGGTGCCGCTGGGTCTGCACGGCCGGCCTGGGTGTCTGCCACGACGGCAGGGCCCCCACTCGGCCCCCACAAGCACACGTCACATTTGAGCACTGACCATGGGACCATGTGTTGCACCACACCACGCCCACCCTGTAAGGCCGGTACTGATCTTTTTTTTTACACATTTCTTTCTTTTTTTTTTTTAATTAATTAATTTTTAGCTGCGTTGGGTCTTCGTTGCTGCGCACAGGCTTTCTCTAGTTGCGGCGAGCGGGGGCTACTCTTCGTTGCAGTGCGCGGGCTTCGCGGGCTTCTCACTGTGGTGGCTGCTCTTGTTGTGGAGCACGGGCTCTAGGCACACAGGCTTCAGTAGTTGTGGCACGCGGGCTCAGCAGCTGTGGCACATGGGCTCTAGAGCGCAGGCTCAGTAGTTGTGGCGCACAGGCTTAGTTGCTCCGCAGCATAGGCCGGTACTGCTCTCGACCTCAGTTCACCCACAAGATCACTGAGGCCTGGGAGTTAAACTTACAGCTAGAAGGTGGCATAACCAGGATTTAAACTTAAGACTGTCCGAGTGGGACTTCCCTGGTGGCGCAGCGGTTAAGAATCCGCCTGCCAATGCAGGGGACAAGGGTTCGAGCCCTGGTCCGGGAAGATCCCACATGCCGCGGAGCAACTAAGCCCGTGAGCCACAACTACTGAGCCTGTGCTCTAGAGTCCGTGAGCCACAACTACTGAGCTCGCGTGCCACAACTACTGAAGCCTGTGCACCTAGAGCCTGTGCTCTGCAACAAGAGAAAACACCGCAATGAGAAGCCCATGCATTGCAGTGAAGAGTAGCCCCCGCTTGCAGCAACTAGAGAAAGCCTGTGCACAGCAACGAAGACCCAATGCAGCCAAAAAAAAAATTAAAAAAAAAAGACTGTCTGAGTGCAGAGCCTCAGGTCTCAGTCTCTGTGCTAAGCCCAGAGAGGACAGCGACCTTGTCCGTACTGTTGGCTGCGTGGCCTCCGGGGCCTGGAGCAGCGTCCTCCGCACAGCAGGCACTCGGAAAGTGCTCATCACAGGAGTGGAGGTGTGAACGGGTGCCCTGCGCTGCAGATTCCTGAGTCCCTCCCCTGCACTGTCCCTCTGTGCGCTCATGTCTGTTCTGACTCTAGAGGATCAGCCTTCCAGTGTGGAGAGAACCAGTCGGAGAGTCAAAGGAGGGCCCTATGAGACAAACTTGATGGTGGAACTGGGCTCTGAGAGGGAAACAGCCTGTCCAAGGTCACAGCCACGATGGACTTAGCGATTGTGCCCAAGACGCGGTTGCCTTTCTGAGCACAGTTCAGCTGTCCAGGGGAAACAGCCTTCCTTTCCCTTCACCTCAGTTTTCCCAGCTATAAAATGATCTGACAGTCTGTGTCTACTGCAGCCAGACTCTCCCCAGCTGGAGAGGGTAAGCGGGGGACGGGTTTCCGGGCCCAGAGACGGT